ACCCCAAACTATGCATCAGCACAAGGCAGCAAGAAGCCAGCACACGTCATGACGAGATGGTTGTCCCGGCAGTGCGAGAGTCAGAGAGCTCTGACTGGTCTCTGGTGACTGGTGTCAGCCTCAGAGAGGAACAGAGCATCTGATTAGGAGACCCACCCTTCCACTGCAGAGGACTTCTGTTGCCAAGAGCAATTGGCATGGGGGTAAAACAAGAAACTACATCAGGCCACTGAGATGGGAGTTCCCTGCAGAACAGCTGTACTTAACTAGGGAGCAAACGGCTGCAGGGTAAGATGGGAGTGCACATGTACTTCTTCCAGCTCTACAGGAGGTGCAGGGCACCTCCACTGTCACTTACTGGGGTTATAGCTCCACAGACACCCATCGGCTCGTGCCGGGTGAAACAGACAAAATTTTCATCTGCAAGACAAGAGAATAAAAGACAACAAAAGAGTCAAAATCTTGACTGGATGTGATAACTGCACACTAATAGGTTGGGGACAGAACGAGAACCATGTTACACAAAGAACTCTCTATCTGTTCATCTTCACTCATGCCTTTGGGACATGCCAGGCAGATGAAGATCTCTTTGAGAACAGGTCTAGTGTCAGCTCGAAAGCCAAACACTGCTCATGGTCACAGTGGAGCCTTTTAAAACCGGAGGTTCAATTCCTTCTGCAAACTCCCTGTGTGGAGGCTAAGGGGAGGATAACTCCCTACCACACTGAAGAGCAAGCACAAATTTCATTCAGATTGTGTCTCACTGAAAGCAGAAAAGCACCTGCCTCCCTGAGGCAGAGAGATTTTAAATCCCATTTTGTGCAGGAATCATGTTCAGTGTAATAGGAATTGCACTTCTGGAAAGAAATCACAAAAAGCTGAAACTCTGGGACTAAAGTAATACCATTCATCTTAAAATACTGCTGTTTCCCTTTCAAAGAGAAAGCAGAAAGGACATTTGCCTTTCAAATTCATTCTTGCTGAAAACCTAGTTTCATTGGGAAGATCTGACAGAGAACATGAACATTTCTAACGACAGTTTTTGGAAGTGATCTCAAATCAGGACAAACAAGCAGTGTCCAGGCAGGCAAAGCTTTACACTACTCTGAATGAGGGTGACAGATCTCAGTTTATATGACTGACACGGCTCCCTTTGCTGCCTTCACAGACAGAACTGACTCAGCCCTTCAGAGCTGGAGACTAATTTTTGTCTGTAGTGCCTGTTCTTCATGCAGCCTGAATGATCACCCACATGCAGCAACAAAAGAGGCTGAATTTGAAAATACACCATATTGCTCATCAAGCCACATGGATGTCCACTGTCTTAGCTTGTTCTCCCCAAAACCATATTTGAACTTCTCTAGCTGAACCAAGTGGTCTCTCTGTGTGACTGCTCTGGCTCTACAGCCTAGGATATGTTTTGAAAACCTCTTTCAAGCTTCAGAAAACTTGACAGGGTCCCTCCAAGAGCTCAGTGCTTTGGCTCCTGAGGGGAGTCAACATTCCAGACCTCCTATTTAATAAAAGTTAAGAAAAAGCACTACACAATCTCTCTGAACAGCTGAGCCAGCACTGTCAGGGATGCAGTAATGTCAGTGAGGTGGGAGATAGTGGTGGATTCTACATCAACCCTCTGCCACATCCCTGTGGCACCTGGAACAGCACAAGCTCTGCTGCCTTTGTCTCCATCCTTACACTCTCTGGCATCTTAATTCATTGCAGTGATACCTAGTAATTAATTCTCCTATAACGTGTGGGTTTCTTTCTTTAAAAATTAGTCTGGATTTAAAACCAAAAAGGTTTCTCTGTTAGAAAAGCAACAGAAGAGCCCATCCATTACTTGTCAGAGATCTATCCAGGCATTTACATTTTTCTCCCATTAGTTTCAATATTGAAACACACGGGTTTAAAATGCATCCTGAGATAGAAAGGAAGTGCAGGCTATTTTTCAGGCTTTCAGAAACTAGCCTTTCCATGGATCTCCCTCCCACCCCCCCAAGCCTGGTCCCATCCCAGCTCTGAAACTGGATCTAAAGGAACTTACCCACTGGGATAGTTCTGCCCTGAATTTTATCAGCCCATCCAGCATAATATCGAAGTGTTTTGATGCAGCCTTCCAGGTCAATGAAATAAGCTTGCAGGAAAGGTTTTCCTGTGTCCATTGTTTCCAGAGTCTGAAAAAAACAAGTTGCATGCACTGTTAGACAAGTTAATATTGTTTCTTTAAAAAAGTGGTTTTAGAGAAATTCCTTCTCAGCTTCATTTTGCTTTGTTCTACAGACAAGGAGTGTCCTTCTCATTCTGGTGGTGGATTCACTGTCTCTGGAGGTTTTCAAGATGAGACTAGATGTGGCACTTAGTGCCACAGTCTGTCTAGTAGCCACGGTAGGGTTGGACTTGGTGATCTTGGAGGTATTTTCCAACCTGTTTGATTCTATGATTGTGTTTAGGGAACAAAGCTTGTTAATACAAGTAAGGCAGAAGGGAGACTAGACCCTGATGCTTGCAGGAGTTGCTTTGTTCAGTGGCTATGTTGAACATGCACCTTCCAGAAGCCCCAGAGCATGGCTGTGGGTGGGACACAGGACAGTGGTCTGGGGCACTGGTCAGAAAGAATGTGTGTGTCATGACTTCACCATAACTGCCCCTCCAACGCAGATGTTCTGGATTCCAGATGGTGTCACTGAAATCAGTCAGATCTACTTCTCTTTTATTTGAAACTCTCTTTTTTCTACTTCATAACCCTAAACTCAACCTCTGAAAAGCCTCTTTTGTCCAATGATTGAAAACACACTTTTACAGAGTTCTGGTAAAGCAACCTTTGGGCTCAGATCTGGCCTGAGACTAAGGCAAGGCACAAGTTGCTCCACTGAAGCTGCACTGATGTTGGGCAGCTCTGAACAAAGTCCAGGCTCAGCCTGTGTCCTTCACACTGTTCTGGACATTAGCTCAGGGAATGCTTTGTTCTCCACTCAGGTCATTAAATGGGATATTGGTGCAAATGGCCAGCACATCCATAAAGGAAGTACTATCCCTTGGTAGATTGAAACATCTTTGTTTACATATGAAGTCATACCCTGTCATCTTCCACAGATATTAGGGTCCAAACAGCACTTGAACAGACATTCCTCTTGGAATGACTAGGATTGTTATCCACTGAATGTCTGCTAAAACAACTGATTTTTATAAGTCATTACTTAGCACACAGCCAAGGCAGCTAGGGCTGGTTTTCTGCAGTGAAAACAGCAATGCCAAACAAGCCCTCCCAGACTAGAAGGACAACAGAAAGCTTGAAATGAGTGTTCTGGTTATGGAAAAAGGAAAGTCCTCTAAAGTCACATCAAAAAGTCAGCAGAAAATGAACAGAATTTATTCACACACACACATATATATTTCCCCCCCTTTTATTTGCTGGCCAAAACTGTCTTCAGATCTGAATGCTTTGGTTTTGCCCTGCTGAAGCTGAAAGCTGTTGAGTGGTTGAGGGACACTGCATTGGAGAAAGAGACCCAGCTCAAAGCAGTCATGTAAGTACAGACTCCTCAGCACATCCTATGCATGTTAATTCCCATGGATCTCAGCAGGACATTGGCACAGGAACTTGCACATCTAACAGCACAGAATGATATAAATGCCATTCCCCTGAAGATAAAAGTGCAGCATTCAACTGGCGAGTGCTCAGATGCCAGAGCTTATGTATGGATGGACAACAGCTCTACGCTGAGGATCTGTGAGTGTGATTTGGAGAGATGTGCAAGGCCTGTGGAGTATAAAGGCTTCTACCAACTACAGCATGTTTTAACTTGGGTCCTTATCCCCTTGTTCTGCACCAGCAGGACTCCTCCAGGATAGGATCATGGAATCATTAGCAATAGTTCTTCAGTGCAGAAGTCCAAGTTAACACAGCTTCATGGCTATAAAGAGTTTTTCCTGAGCCAGTACATTCAGTAGGAAAAGAAACAGACTTACACACATTTAAAACTTCGGATGATATCCAGCAAGAAAAAGATTCTTTCCAGCCCCCCATTTTAGGGGAAGGAATTTGTACAGAAGTCAAACTAGCCTTGCATTTTTTAAATAAAGAAGGACTGAGTCAGCTATGGTGGTTTGGGGGTTTTTGTTGTTTTGTTTTTTGTTTATTTGTTTGGTGGTTTTGGTTTCTTTTAAGATAAGATTTAAAACTTCGGATGATATCCAGCAAGAAAAAGATTCTTTCCAGCCCCCCATTTTAGGGGAAGGAATTTGTACAGAAGTCAAACTAGCCTTGCATTTTTTAAATAAAGAAGGACTGAGTCAGCTATGGTGGTTTGGGGGTTTTTGTTGTTTTGTTTTTTGTTTATTTGTTTGGTGGTTTTGGTTTCTTTTAAGATAAGACCTGGGAGACAGCTATGAACATTGCTGACTGTTCAACTAAGAAAATATGGTTATTGCTTTGAAAATCTAAGTGCTAATATCTGTAATCACTTCAATAACTAGTTAAAGTTTTGGAGAAATCAACTATATAGAAGAACTAGCAGACTTCTAAGACCCCTAAAATCATCCTGCAAAAAGAGAAAGAGTCATGACTCCCGTATAGACTCTTGTGCCCTTCATAAAGGGAGAGAAAAGAAAAATATTAGGTAGATATGGATGCACCAGAGCAATGGAGCCAAGTTATCAGCCAACTGCTGTAGGTGTTCCACTGCTCACAGTACTTACTGCCAGGATGATTCTGTCGCGCTCGAGAAGATCAGCCAGTTTGTGCAGGAGTCGTCCTCTGCTTGGGGCATCCATCTGTCTCCATGGAGAACCCCTCTGGAATGCTGCTTTTGCTGCCTCCACTGCATTATCCACATCAGGCTACAGCAGCCACATACACAAGAAAACCTCAGGTTACAAGGGAGGAGCTGGACAATGGCACAGAACCCCCCTCAGGCTGCTTCTGAGTTGATGCTGAGGTGGCCAAAACCAAGTTGTCTGACAAAATCACTTCCATTTTACTCCTGGATTTGAATTCAAGCCTGGAATACATTTTAGGTTTAGCTTGGGCTCATAAACAACCTTGAGGTCAAAGTACCAATAGGGTCTTTCAAGGGCAATTTTATTTAACTGATTTGTTTATAAAATAATCCAGAATCATGTGTCTGCCAGCACAGGATGGAGAAACAAGCACGACAGGCCACTGGTCTGCAGGAATCAGCCTCCTCTAAGCAAGTGTAGGCAGGAAAGTTCCCCCATGAGATCAAGGTTTTATCCTAGGAAACAATCAGAGCTCAGATCCCACCATTCAGTCCCACTGGAACACATGGAAATAGCAGATAACACACTGAAAAGCTCCCTTAGATCCCAGAACACACTTCCAGAACACTTTTACTTGCTGTTCAGTGCTATGACAAAGGCATTTCCCCTACATGCACTTAGTGCCACTCTCTCTTTTCCTCCCAACAGCTTCCACACCCTCTGGACCAAATCTAACTGTGTTTACCCAAGTTACTACTCAGGTGGGCAGCAAATTACCTCTCTTCCCGCATCACCAGCCATGCACTTGCTCTGGCCACAGCATAGCCTGGACTACTCCCTTCATCTCACATACACTGATTAAAAACACGAAGCCAAGGGCAACCTCATGGTCCAATGGAATCAATGGGAACACCGAGGCCAAGGCTGTACCCCAAGCATGCATAAAGCACACTTCTCCCTAGCTTTGGACAGATTAAAAAAAGGTCTGGCACAGCACATGCCTCACTTCAGCTGATGGAGAAGTTGCACCTCACCGCAACATATGGCTCAAAGGGGTGGGAAGGGAGGGAGGGTTTCAGGTCTTGATCATTCCTCACAGGACTTCACCAGTTGCTCGCATTTAAGTCTTATCTCAAGTCTCATCTGGATACAATTAGCAAGTAAACCTCTGCACTGATCCAACAAGGTCTGGCCATGGGGAGATGTGTGGTGGTCAACCAAGAAAAGTGTCATAGGGGGACATGTTTTCTTCTTACAGCAAAAGTTGATGGTCGAAATGGCAAGTCATCACCCAAGGCAACGGCACCTTAAATTGAATTTGGCTCCTTTACTTTACAAGAAGAGGATGAAATAGTCTGACCTATACTGCCAGGGAAAGAAATCCACCCTTTTGGACGGGCACTGATAGGGATCCGTTGGAGGAAACTTGTGCTGCTGCAGAATGGCTCTGGACTAGCAAAGGTGAGGCAGAGGTGGTGAGGAGCCACCAAGCACAGGCAGGCATGTCCTGCCAGGGGCCCATCACCCATGGGCACAACAGGCCTTTGCTCCACCTGAGTTGATCTGGATTCAAACCGGCACATCACAAAAGCCAGAAGGCACCACCAGTCACTGCACACTTATGTATTCCCCCTCCTGCCTATTGAAATGAAGACTCAAGCTGAAAGAAGGCAATATTTTATGTGACAAAGCAGGCAAAGGAACATAAGTGTGCCAGGCTTAAACAAGTCTTCCCTGAGCAGCAACTAATTAGTTCTGTGACCAGGCTGGGAGAACTGACTTGCAGGGAACTGGGTCTGCAGTGGCACAGGCCACAGCACAGCGTGCCCTCAGTACTGAAGGACTTCACTCCGCCCTGGCACTCACAGAACTGGAGTGAGATGGCTGTGTGGGCAGAGGACTTCAGTGTGTGCCTAGATCTTCCTCATCCTCTGAACATGGGAGCACACAAGCTCTGCTGCAGCTCCTGTAGGCAGCTGTCTTCATTCTTGCCTCTGTTCTCAGACATGCTGGGTACAAATAGCGGCTCAGAGACGACACTCACTGTCACACAGGCGAACAGGCTTTCCTTAAACACCCTCAGGGTAGCACCACCAAGTGAGATCCTGTGAGCCTGCACAGCCTCAAAAGGCCTGAGAGACCAGCAAAAACAAGGAAATTCTTCAGGAAGGCTGAAATGCCATTCTTAATCCATCCTGTTATGACTAGGCATTAGGGGAGTCTGAATGGCATGTTCATTGCAGGCATGTTGCAATAGGTAGGCACAAGGCGTGACAAAGAGACTCGTAACTGTCAAGGTGCCAGGAACACACTGTGGTGTACAAAATCACAAGGAGGAGATCTGTGCATCCTGGTGCTCAGTTCGGATCTATAACAGATTTACTGAGTATTACATAAAAAGCTTCACTAAGAGAATACTAAGATTGCAAAATCAAGCACTGCAGCATTAGGAAATGCCTGCAAACCTTCATACCCACCTTGGGTGTTTGCATTGTGATACAACCCCCAGTTACACAACCACATACCTTTCCCCCCTGAACAAACTCATACTGTTCTTTGTTCTAAACTACCTCCTTCACCTTCCTCCTCTGCCTCCAGCCCTGCTCATCCCTGCTCCTTTCTTCTCTCCTGCCCCTTCTTCCTCTCTCCTGCCTCAGGCTGCAGAGCACAGTGGAGACCATTACCCTGCTGGCTCTGTGAGTGGGGAAAACACCTACAAAGAAGTCTCACTCTGCTTCTGTCTGGCCAGGGAGGAAATGTGCCAGGGATGGAGGACACTCAGTGGAGAACAGCTTGGCTCAATTCAACTACCAACTTCAAAAAGCCTCCACTGTGCATGTCTTTGAAAAGGCATTTTTCTGACACAGTGCATGAACATGTCACAGTTTCTCAATTAGAGGAGGTTCTCCGGCCTGATCCCCTACAAACCCTCTGCAAACAGTCCACATGTTGCATTGCTCTAACTTCTAAACCCAAGTTCAAAACAGCTACGAAGAGCATCCTAACAGCCCCAAGAGTCCAAAATCATTACTGAGGGCATTGCAAGTCTGCTGTAGTCTTACCTCAGCCAGCCTCTACAGTCTGAGTAGGACAGTCTGACTGTGGCTCAAATATCCACACGTGAGAGTGAACTGTTCAGAAATGATCACGACAGACACTCCACAGCATCAAGCCAGCTCGACAGTCATGGACCTGCTGCCCACACTCAGAGGCAGCCAGCTGAGCTGGGCACTCCTTTGAGAAAGGAGCACCTTCCCCTCACCCCAATGGACATCAGCAAGCTGCTAGAAGGAAAAGATCTGTGTCCATGTGTTACCAACAGCACCAGAGAAATTACAATGGTGCAGGGATTTCTGCCTTCACACAGTAACACCAGGTTGAAGGTGCTGGGGCTGCACTATTCCCTGAAGCAAAAGTTTAATGGATTAACTTATTCCTTCTCCATTATCAACCTGGCAAACACTTGGACACTAAGCTGTTATCTGGGAGGTGAAAACCTTCCCAGCATTCAGTTAAAGCATCTGACATTTTATTTTCATTGCTTCTTTTCTTCACACAGACTTTCCTTTATCCCTCAACTATCCCATCAAGAATAATTCAGTCTTAAATTCTGCAACTAAAGAACAAACAACGAAACCTTTGCTGCTAGCCTCATAAAGCATTGGCCAGGTTTCAGCACCAGACTAAATTGTCATCGCTGAGATATCAGCTGCCAAATTCCCACCCCTCACATGCACCTAAGCAAAACATTCTGCATGGCCAGGGAGGGGCAGGTTTCTGTTCAGGGCTTGGGAAGTGGAGTCCTGCTTCCAGCCTGCTGTAAAGGCAGAGCCAACCCTGGCACAGCACAGCTGAAGTCAGAGCCAGTACCAGGAACTGCTATCCCTCCAGTGGTACTGACCAGCACAACAAGTATGGAGGCATGTGGGGACAAGACACTGGAAAGCACCACCAAACACAAGTCACTGCTTCCTGTAGTAATTCCAGCAGACTGGAGTTACAGACCCAGAAGGGGATGTTCAGCCAGGGCAAAACAAGCCTCGGGGGACGTAGTTTGGTCAAGTGTCACCAGTAGCCAAACAGCTAATTTGGGATGCTTCTCACCCATGACCTCACTTTCCAGATCCAGATTTAATTCCACTCAGTCCCTCAGAAAAACCTACTTAGAGAAAAAAAAAAATTAAATAAATGTGATGTAAAAGGGTGGAGGAAGAGGCTTTCAGCACCCAAAGCACAGTTTGCTTACATTCTTGCCTGCAATTTCCATGCACCAAGGAGTCAGCCACCCATGCTGAGGATGCAGGGGCAGAGGCATCCACTGACTGGCCCCAAGGAGAGGTTTACAGTGACTCTCCTGCAAGCTAGAAGTTGAATTCAGGCAGGGGCAAGTTTCAAGGAGGCAAGATGCAAATCTGGCCTTTTAGTTCTGCATAAAAATTTTCTTCAACCAAGACATTAAGAATCAGCATGAAGTGCTCATATAGTACTCTGTAGCTGCTCAAGGAGACATTTAGCTGAGGAACAATAACAACGTCATGGTTTCTGCCTATCAAAATAGAGTTGCATCAGAGTCAGCTTCAACTCCACTGTTTACATGCCACTGTGATTAAACACAATTGTGTCCTACCCAGTCAGTATAAAGAAATTACACACAATGTTTGGTTCTCCCTCTGGCAATAAAAGTCTTGGAACCTGCTTTAGTGCAATCCAAAAAAGCACAACTGCCTTACACAATACTTGCACACAGGCTGAAGACTTGTATTCCCAAGTAAATTTGCTCCTGTCTCCACAAGGGTCAGGTTCTATATGCTCCAAATACATTGTCACCGCTCAACTAGTATCACTCCTACTAGGAAAGGATCCCACAGGCACATACCTGGCTGGAAAGCAGGTATTGGCCCTGACAAGTGTTGAACAAGTTTAGATACCAAAAAACACCCTCGGTGCAGGCAGAAATGGCCATGCTGCCCATCACTCACTGTCCACAGCAATGAGCTGCCAAAGCCCTGGGATAGCAGGGCAGCTGTGAGTCACCTTCCCATGACATCCTGCAACAAGCCAGCTCTTGGGACAGCTCTTTTCCATAGATCAGACCAGTTGGCCCATATGTGATGAGCTGCTTTGGACAAGAAGTGTCACATCTTGTTCCTCACCTCAGACTGTTACCAAACCCAAGCAGTTCCATCCCAGGCTAATCACAGGGCCAGCCAGGGACTACTAAAGCTCTTGAGAGACACTGATTTGGTTTTAACTGGGAGTTGCCACATTTGTGCAGGGGACCAGAACCCATGATACCAGTTGGAAAAGCAGCACCACATCTCCAGCACTAAGGGGTCAGTGTTTGCATGACTGAGCTTAAATGCCCTCCAACACTCAGGTTATTTGTTGACTGTTTAAAAAAAGGGTGAGTTTCAGTCCAGTGTCTCCAAAAGGCTGCTGTGCAGCTTGTGTATAAACCACTCCCAACACAAGGCCCAAGTCCTGTCAGCAATGTGCATACACCACCATTGCTATTTCCTCAGGCTGGCTGCTTCCTTCCAGTCTATGCCACAAGAATGATGCTCAATCTCATTCCTCTAACAGTGTTCAGCAGCCAGTTCCTAACAGGGAAAGTGACTGACTAGTTGAACAGGATTGATCCCATCCACCCCATGTCATGCTTGAGCAGCACATCCAGTGCCCCAGACCTCCAGCTCAGTCTGGTCAGACGTGTTGTTGTTTAAAGCCAGGTTTCCTCTGTGTGCTTTCCTACAAAATAGTCTTTTTCATTGCTTTTCCAACAACACAACAACACTTACCTTGTCTCCTTCCTCAATGTCACATATTTTCTCCAGCGTTGAAGGGTTGTAGGTGGGGAACTTCTTTCCACTTGTAGACTCGTGCCATTCATTGTTAATAAATATCTGAAGAAAGAGCAAGGGCATGGGCAGGAGAAAAAAAAAGTTTGACGTTGACAAAAAACCCACAAGTGCTCGTCAAAGGTCCCAAGGCTCCTCAATTTCCATCAATACCAGAGTCAAGTGTGCTCAGACTCTCTCACAAGGACAGTGTTTGTGATACAGTTTATCCAAACCACAGCCTGAGCCAGAGAACAGATGAAAAAGCCTTCATGCACATGGTTAGTTTTGAGCAAGAGGAAGGCAGAGGACGGGGCACACAGTACATCACCATAATCTGACCATGAGAAACAGGCAGTTTTTGAACTACATCTCCATGGAAACAGCAAGCAGACACCAAGAGAAACTTGTATGGTTCAGGCAAAAGGAGCTTCCAGCCACATGTCACCGTGCAACATTGCTTGGCTGTTTATATCCTGCCCTGGGCTGCCTCCACAACTTGCTCCCTCCTCCGGCACCGTCCAGAGGAGGATGAGTACTGGCTCAGTTCTACCCCACCATGCCTTGTCACAGGCTAGATCAAGCCTCCCACGTCACTTGGAGTCATCTGTGACAAGATTTAAGTGTTTCAAAATATTGCATTTCCAGAGCAAGAACAAACAGTCCCAGCGTTGCGCAACTGAAAATGCATTAAATACTGGAGTGTTGTTACTCACTGTAAACAGAACATGAATACCTATATACAATTAATTGATTCAACATGCATCTTATCCACGCTGTGATCTAACTTGGCAGTGTTAAATTTTATAAATATACTTTAAGGAAGATTAGATGAAGTAATCTTTATTAGTAGCCTGCTAGTGGCTGTAAGCTAGTACTTTTATTTGGAAGCCATCCACATTTGCAATCTTGTTTATGAGTCTCTACACACCACCAGGAGATTAATGTTGCATCTCTTACATTTGGAATTCCCACTGCTTTGGGTCATAGTTTTCTTTCCTTGGGCAGATTTTTTTTCCTGAAAGGATTTTATCTTTGCTATTTCTGCATAAAGCATCCAAAATGTAACTGGGGTGGAAGCTGCACTGCTGAACACACCTGTTTCACACAGGCCGAGAAAAGGAAAATTGTGCCAAAAATGTTGCCAAGGGACGTCACAAGCAAAGATATAATGTTAGAGATATTAACTCCACTTTAACACACCAATGCTCCCAAACTACCTCTGTTATCCAAGTGCTACGTTTTAACATTTACACATTTTAACTTCAGCTTTTCTTTGTTTCACTACTGAAAAAAGGTCACGTTATAAATGCAGGAGATACACAACCGTAAAGTTACAGCTTCAGGTATGTGCTCACAAACTGAGCATTGTTTTTCCTTCACATTCAACACTAATTCTACTGAAAAGGGTTTGGGATGGGAAAGGGATGTTTCTACAAGCAGGAAAACACGAGAGTGATGGGATCAGGCTGTTTTAAATGTAACGTACACTGGCATCGTTCTGGGAATCGCACCACATATCCCGAGTCTTTGGTGCCAGGAGTTGAAATCAAACCGAATAACATATCAGGAATTCATGCTGCATACCCAGGATTTGAGACAAGGAATCATGGACAGATCGTTTCCATCACACATCCATGACAAGCCCTAAGCTGCTCTATAAGTAAGATCTTTGTTGAAAATGTTTCCTCTCCCCCAGCCCCGTAACTGGTAGAACCAAAAACACAAATCTCCGCACAGCGGAGGAAAGTGTGCTGTCAGCTGTAAACATCTGGTGAAACTCAGAGCTTGTACAAAACCCCTCACAGTTTTATGAAAATTGACTGCTGCTTAGTATTTTTCAGATTCAGCAGAAGCATCAGATCAAACATCAAACTCACATTTTTAATTTACATTGCTTTCCACTCTTAGGAGACTACCTCGGTACTTTCAGCGCACAGAGTCTCTGGCAAAACTCTGGAGAACAAAACCGCGGGTTTTAAAACATAGATGCCTGCAGGATCAGATCCCTACAGAGTATTTAAAAGTGCACACAACAATAAAAATAACAAAAACCAGAACATTTGGATGTTTCCTAAGAAGAACTCGAATGGCTGTGTCCATTTTGGACGCAGGAAAGAGCTGTTTGTGCAGCAATTACGCCATTCTGCAAGCAGCAGCTGCAGATCCAATTTGCTGCTAAATGACAAGTTTATCTTACAAATAAAGAGGAGATAAATTGGGGATGATAAAAATTTATTTAGTCCAGTAATTACTGCTAATTGCTATTCTGTTCCAGTACTTTGGATGCACAATTCAAATCAACACCTTGCTGGATAAGCCTATTGCTGTTTACTCCTTTTCACTGCGAGGCAATGACCTTCAAATTGTGCTTATTTTTGAATGTTTATCACAGAAATGCAACAGTAACACACTCATTCAGCCTCTCTGACTCTTTTAGTCCTGACACAGAGTTGAAATTATGGCAGTGGAGGCTCTTTAGCAGCTTAACCAGCCAGGACGTTTTCCTGACTGCGCGAGGCAGTGGGTCAGGCTGTTGTGGAACAAAAAGCGACTCGGCTATCGCAGCATTGGGAGCAGAGATTTCTGCTGTGCTCAGCTCCACACCAACACCAGCCTCACCTCCGAGGGACAGTTATCAAGCTCAGGAGCCTTTGGTTTAATCCAAAAGACCAGGAGTGGCTGTTTTAAGAGAAACTCAGTGGAGAGGGGAGAGCTTGTGTGGGCTCAATGCCTGACTCCTCATCCCGCAGGGAGGCCATGTAGGAGCTCTGTTGGGACGGAGAGTCACCAACAAGACCTATAAAAATGCTGCTCCTCTTCTGGAGCTGCGGGATGGCCCCAGTCTCATGGCAAAGCCCTTCTACAAGGCCCAGTCCTGCCAGACACCAGCCCTTTTCCAGGCTCCCTGTGCTCGCCAGGACTCAAACCCACCCTGGGACTGAGCATGCCAGGTCAAGGACAGCTGAACACAGCCCTGGCAAGCAGCTTCCTCAGGGATAAACCTCTCCTTGCTCTGCCCAGGCTCACCCCATCCAAATCGGATTTTGCTGAGCAGCGACCGGTGGGTTCCGAGTGCTGCGGCGAAGATGGCGCCAGGCACCCGAACAGGCTGGCGACCACCGCCAGGGAGAGGAGCCCAAGGCACCTGGGGCAGCACCACTGCTGCGGCGAAGATGGCGCCAGGCACCCGAACAGGCTGGCGACCACGGCCAGGGAGAGGAGCCCAAGGCACGTGGGGCAGCACCACAGCTTGGGTGGGGTATTTTATTTTAAAGAGTTCATTTTGGGGCTTTAGGTATTGGGGCAACAGCAGCTTACAAACCCCATTGTCATCTGCTCACTCCACCTCAAACCCCTGTAAACCTACTGTCCCAGGCAGCAGGAGGAATAAAGAAAAACAAGAAAGATAATATATAAGCTTAGTTTTGGCTATTATCTAAATATCTATTCGTTATGCATTTATCTATGATGTACTTAACTCTTGCATGTTTATCTATTATACAAATAATAAAAATAAGAACACAGAAAGTGAAAATCCTGTATTAAAAGCATAACACCTCCCCACCAGCCTGACTCCAAGCACCAGCGACACCAGGGCAAAACCAC